CCCACCCCTGTGCCCGCCCGGCCCTCCCCCCATCCCCTTTGCCTGACCTAGGGCTGGGATCGCCCCCCAGAATCGGCCTGCACGTGCAACTGGGTCCACTGAGATGCCATTCTGCTCCTCTTTCAGATCTGTAACATCATGAATGCCGCTGCCGACGAGATGTTTCACTTTCAGGTATCTGTCGACGCCCCAGTAGGAGGTGTGGTTTTCTCAGGATGACAGGTGCTGGGGTTGGAATAGCCCTTGCGGCCTGAGAACAATGGGTAGAATCCCAGTGGCTGGCAGCAAAGTGCATAGACTTCTGCCGAGGGTCTGCGGGTTGGCTGGGGCGCGGTGGATCCTGGCAGGGCTTGGTCGGGGCTCAGCTGATCCTGGTGGAGCTCAGCTGGGACTCGACTAAGACCAGCTCATGGATGAAGGTCTCCAGAACAGAAGATTCGTTTGATATTCCCCAGTTCTGTCTCACTGAGGGCTGCCCCCTGAACGGCCCCCTGCTCTCCCACCTCTGCCCTGCACACCCTGTTTCCATCCCTCCTCCTTTCCTGACCCTCTGAATTTGGGCCTTGGGTAGTGGCTGCTGCTCCTAAGGTCTCAAGTGGTTAGCCTAAGGGGTGGGCACCTCACCCGTGCAATTGTTCCCCCTGGTCCATCTGCCTGTTTGTTTGGGGCTCGGGGCCGGACTTGGCAGATCTTGACTGCGGGGCTCGGCTGGGCTGGGCTGGGCGTGGCTGGTTCGTGGCTGATCTTGGCTACGGGGCTCAGCTAGTCCTGACTGGGTCATGGCTGGTCTTAGCTATGGGGCTTAGCTAAGCTTAGCTGGGTCATGGCTGGTCTTGACTGTAAAGGTTGGCTGGGTTGGGCCGTGTGTGCCTGGGTCACGACAGATCTTGGCTATGGGGCTCCACTGGTCTGGGCCGGGTCTGGCTGGGTCATGGCTGATCTTGGAGATGAGGCTCAGCTAGTCTTGGCTGGGTCGTGGCTGATCTTGGCTATAAAGATTAGCTGGATGGGGTTGGACCCCAGCCCTTCTTGACTTTGGGGCTCAGCTGACCCTAGCTGGATCTGACTGGGCCACACTGCAGACTGAGCCCTGCAGAAAGTTCCAATCGACCAACGTATTTCTAGCTGGGGATGTATGGCCATGTGATGGAGCAGACTTTCCTGGGGGAGGAAGTGGGTCCACTGGGGCCGTGTTTAAGCGTGCTCCACCTCCGAGGGCCTCCTTGAGAAGCTGGTCTGCTCCTGCACGTTCCTGACCAAGGCCAGCATCGGAGGCCACGTGATCCCGATTCCAAATGAATACTTGAGACCCCCGTCGCTGTCGCTCGGCTATGGCAAATTCTCAGCCAGCCACAAGCTGTTCAACCACATGCGGGCCCTTCTTGGAGTGGACCCTTGACCATCCAGTGTGCACTGACCATCCAGTGTGCACTGACCATCCAGTGGACCCTTGACCATCCAGTGTGCACTGACCATCCAGTGTGCACTGACCATCCAGTGGACCCTTGATCATCCAGTGAGCACTGACCATCCAGTGTGCACTGACCATCCAGTGGACCCTTGACCATCCAGTGTGCACTGACCATCCAGTGTGCACTGAC